GAAAGATTCCATGTTTACCTGTCCTCCATCTGCTGGCATGTGCCCAGATTTCATCAGCGTATGTATCCAGAGGATAAAGCTTTCGTCTCTGTTAGAATGTAATAACCTAACTTTAAATTGTTTTCGGGTATTTGTACTATGATGTGAGACATGCAGAGGGATACCAGGTTGTAAAAGATCAAAGGCCTTTGGCTGTAAAGTCTGAGTCCCTGGTACTTGGTTTGGGCTTGTTGGGAAGGGAGGAGTGAACCTGCAATTGAGAAACAGGAAAGGTTGAGAAAGGAGGAGTCTGGGAGCACAAAGGCTCAAGGTACAGAAATGTCAACCTTTCTTTTGAAAGAGAGTCTCTGGGACCCCTACTTGAGAAGGGCCTCTTAGGGAATTGGATTCCTTTTACCATCCTCGGCCATCCAGGCGCTCAGAGGCTGCTGCAGTTATGGTCCAAAGGAGCCTGACTACTGCTTCCATCGATGGAAGATTTTGATATCACCCACATGGTGCTGGTTTTACTGGCATGAGGAATGCAGATTTCAGAGGAAGGGCTGGAAGTCCGGCCAAGGGGCGCCTGGCGGGGTAGTGCATAAAGCTGTAGAATGTAGCCAAAGGTGCAGTGGAGACCCCAAGAGTTGGAATGTGGAATGCCTGCTGAGAAAAGCTGTAGGTGGTAAATGGAGCCAGCCCAAGAGAGAGATTCTGTGGGTTGCAACCTGCAAGGCCGTAGGGGCAGGGCTGCCCAAGCCCTTTGGAACTCAGGTTTTAGCACTGTGTGCCCTGATATCAGATTTGCAGCTACAGGACCTAATGTTTGCCCTGTTGGGTTTCAGTCTTGCTTTGGTTTAATCTAATTTTTAGTATGGGAATGTTTACTCTGTGCCATTGTACTTTGGAATTGTGTAACTTGCTTTTGACTTTGATAGAGGCCACAGCTAAGAGTTTGCCTTGAGTCTTAGAAAAGACTTGTACTGGAACTTCTGGAGAATGCTGCAACTGTTGAGACTTTGGGGTAGGGATTATTGTGTTTCCAATTGTATGTAGGATCGTTATGTTAGGCAGAATGATAAATTATATTATCTTTATTTGGAGATTAGGTATGGTTTCAGGAAATGTATTTGGGTTGCAGTTTGGGAAGGGGTGGGATGTGGTGGTTAGGGTCATTTCAACTTGATTAGTTTTGGGATCCACCCGAGGGACTGGAGAAACACACTTTGAGGTGTGTTTGAGGTGTGTTTATTATGAAGGCATGGTCTCGGGATCTGTGTCTAGCTCCTTGCCCCTTCCACTCTGGCACTCTTCCCCTGCTCTGCTTCCTAGCCACCAAGAACTAAACAGCTTTGTACTGCCACACCCTGCCGTCGTGTTTCTGCCATGACCTTATGGACTGAGTCCTCTGTAACCGAGCCAGACCTCTGTCCTTTAAATTGGGGGAGGGGGTTGGATAATTGTCTCCGTGACAAGAAAGCTGACTAATACAAGTTACATATAAATTACCCCAAATTTAACAGCTCAAAAGAACAAACGCTTACCATCTCACACAGTATCTGTGGCTCAGAATCCACCCCAAGGCTGCCTTTAGGCTGTCCCGTGGGCATGCAGGCATCTCAGCCCTTGACAAGATAGAAGCTCCTGTCCGTGATCACTCACAGTGGTGCTGCAGCCTCGGTTTCTCACTGACTGTTAGCCAGAGGTCTCTTTCTCAGCACGTGGGCCTCTCCCTAGGCTGCCTCAGTGTCCTCAGACAAGGCAGCCAGGTTTCCCCAGAGCAAAGGACTGGGGAGAGGGAGACACAGACGGACAGACGGGCCTAAAGACGGAAACCACTGGTATTTTTGTTGTCTCATCTCACAAATGGCATGCCCTCACTTCTGCCGTTGAGACCAACCCTGTGGGTGTGACTGCGTCGCGGTATGACCAGCAGAAGGCGGGCATCGTGGGGCAAACTCCGAAGCGGGCTGCCTCAAAGAAGTGTTCGTTTCCTTCTCCCGCACCGTTAGCAAACCACTAACTAAATCCTCCTAATTCTGCCTCTGCAGTATTTCTCCACTAGGCAAAAGGAAGTCTTAGGAGAGCTCTAGGCAGGGGCCTTTTAGTTTACTTCTCTGTAAATATCACAAATAGGTTTTTTTTTTTTTTTGGTATCGGGGATTGAACGTGGGACCTTGTGCTTGTGAGGCAGGCAGTGGAATCACTGAGATAAATCCCTGGCCCTATCACAAATAGGTTTAACTCTATAAGGGTATGTATCTTCGTGGAACTCTTTTTATTTTTATTTTTATTTTTTGGTGGTTGTGGGAATTGAACTCTCAGGTCCTTTTACCATGCTACAACCCCAGATCCCCCTACTTTAAAAAAGAAAGCACTTGAGACAGGATCTCACTAAGTCACCTAGGCTGGGCTCAACCACGCAGTCCTCCTGCCTCAGCCTTTCAGAGTGCTGTGATTACAAACAATTGCCACATTGTCCAACTCTTCCTGGAACTCTTGAATATGAAAAATTATGGGGTGCATTCTGCTTCTGTGATAAAGCCATTGTTAGAGGAAGCAAGAGTTATGCCTGTCACTTGGCCAATGGGAATAATCCCTTTTTCACTGCTCATTCTTTGACCTCTTGAGACACTCCTTTAAGATAGGCTTGCCTGGTGTGGTGTCGGACACCTGTAATCCCAGCACTTGGGAAGCTGAGGCAGGAGGGTCGCTGTGAGTTTGAGACCAGCTTGGGCTACATAGTGAGTTCCAGGTCAGTCTCAAAAAAAACAAAAAAGCGGGGGGGGCCTTTTTTTTGGGAAGGACATCTTTAGTAGATGGAATTTTCTGAGTTGAGTATATTTTGACCTCACCTACCTGGTGATTTGAGCTGCTCTTGGGAGAGGGTGAGCACTAGCAGCCTCCCTCATTAAGTCCTTACACAGCCCAAGGCTGAAGTCAATTTACCAAGGACCCAAAGGGATCAGAGTGAGAATCTAAACTCACTTAAATTGATAGGAGATTCTGGGCCTTGCATGAAAATTTGTTCTTTATTCTTAGTCCTATAAACAGAACCATAGACTCATTGACCAGAGAATAAGATGTCACCTCCTCCCTCATTTTACCAGTGATACAGACCGAGGTGAAACAAGTACCTACTATCAGTTAATAAGTTGGAAGTCAGCAGGGACTGAGGTATTCTTTCTGATCTTTCCCTGAGCCATGTGGAAATTTGACGTGTATACCTGCAGGGCAGTGTGATGCAATCTTGGATTTGCCCTAAGATCCACCTTCTGCTCTTCTTGTGATCTTGTTTGAACAACAGGGAGCTTCATTTCCCAAACTGTCTTGGCTCTGGCTTCCCACTTGGTGTGGCCAGTGGGGAGCACTGTTGAAAGATCTAAGAACAGGGTCGGGGATTTAGCTCAGTGGTTCTGCCACCTGCCTCGCAAGCACAAGGACCCGAGTTTGATCCCTGGTACCAAAAAAAAGAGAAAGATCTAAGAACAGGAGCTGACCGGAAGTAGGCATTTCTTATGTTCTCCCTGCTTCCTTTAGCAGCTTCAGTGTGAGGCTCTCCTGCGGTCTCAGCTCTCACTAAACAGTTCCCTTGTGACTCCTGGACTGCCACAGTGACCAGTAACAAAGATCCCCCAATCTGCTTATTGCTGTGTGTAATCTCTGAGCTGCCTCACTGGCCCCCATTTAGTTTCTCAGCTCTTCTATCATTTGAAAAGCCAGTTCTCTATATTAAGTTATCTTTGTAGGACCAGGAGCATAGTTCAGTGGTAGGGAGCTGGTCTCACGCGTTGCCATAAAAAAGTTCTGTTTGTTAAGAACTCCTAGACTTGTTTCTCTTTTCCTTACTAGATCTTGACTGATTGAGTAGGGCCATTGTTCTGTTCTTGCACATGGTAGGGACAGATAAATGTTCAATCATAACGATGATAATAAAAAAGGAAAACCAAATTCAATCCCCGGTACCAAAAAAAAGAAAGGAAAACCAGCTTATCCAAAAGAAATAGTACTTTATTAATTTATGCTGCAAGTTGAGGTGATTGAAACAACATCGTATTTCTCATAACTTCTGAAAAACGAAAAAATGGGAACATTTTCCTCAGATGTTTTCCCAAAGAGCCAGTCTTTTGCCTTCTGCTCTGTGGTGTCAAAAGAATGGATTCCTTTGAATTTGTAGATCTTTTCCATCCCTGTCAACCTTGGCTTAATCATGGAAGGGATCTTTCTTGGTTTGGGTAAGTTTATATATTTTGGTTGTAGCAGAACAAGTCCTAGCATCATGCCATTAGTTTCATACACTTGCTTAAGTGAGGGCTGTGTACACTTGGCCTTCCCATCACAAGCCTGGTTGTTGTGACCTACAGTCCTGTTTATATGCCAACCCCTGTTCTTGGCATCTGCACAAGGATTCCCACAAGGGTTCTATTTGAGAAGGTGGTTTCCAAGATTGGGGATAACTGCCCGCCAGCACTGGATTTGAGACCACCAACTTGTTTTTCCAAGCATTAATATCTCAGTGATCTCCAAACATATTTTATTTTCCAGAATACTTTCCAAAAAGCTTGTTAGAATGTCTGTATAACTTTTTTTTTTTTTTTTTTTTTTGGGGGTTGAACTCAGGTCCTTGTGCTTGCAAGGCAGGCGGTGGAACCACTAACCTAAATCCCTGGTCTGCTATAACTGTTTTTGAAGATATAAGGGTCTAAGGAGAGAGGGTATGGGTAATATAAATTATAACTTGGCAGTCTTATATTTAAAATGTTATCCAACAATATTTTTTTTTCTTAAAAAATCTTCTTTACATATTTAAGTAATTCATTTGGGAGAAATAGCCAGTCAGCTATTCACATAGCCAGCCTGTTGGCAGTTTCAGTTCAATATGCTTTGAAACCAGTCAACTACAAAGCTTCAGATGTTTTCACTTTGAAAGCTCAGTTTAACCTTCACTACCATGGTGGTGAGAAAAGTAACAACTCATTTTAAAGATTCTCCTCCTTTGTGCCTTTGTCTTTCTTCTGCAGACCATGTGTTTATACTATGGGATCTCCCATAAACAACAGGGCCCTTTTTCCATGCCAGGAGCCACCCGTTGCCATGTCAACATGGCAGGCTACAGTTCGAGCAGCTGCATCTTTTGTTGTTTTAATGAGTGGAGAAAATTCTGCCAAGCCAACACAGCTTCATGAAGGTACTGTACATGTGTTCTTTGCTTATTTATGTATCGCACACATGCTGAACCCAGGAACCCAATAAGCACTATTTTTCTAAACTTTAAAGAGCTGCTTTATTAGTTGGGTTGGAAATGAACATACTATAAAACATCCTGCCAGAGAAAACAAGCAGGGGATGGAAATGGGGACTGGGGAGTGTGGGCATGGGATTTGGGGCTCTTCACCACAGTTATCAATTCATAGTTTATTTCAGCAGTTACTTTCACCTGGTGGTTTGTGGGCCATAAGTGGGTGGTCTTGGTTGAAGACTTTCTAAGGAGGCAAGTGTGTCATGGAAACCCCATTACAAATGGCTGAGTTATCTGTGGTTTGGACGTGGTATCTGTACATGGTTATTCATTATGTTGAGAGACGGAGCTCTTGTTGGCCAGCCCAGGGTATTGTCCTGGCACAGAATCTGTTCTATATGCTGTTCACCGACACGAAGCTCTGAACCAAAGGCCAATGGAAGGATGGATGGCAAATGATAATGCATTGTTCAGATTTTGTGAATTACTTGGTTTCTCAATAAGTAACTCTTTCCGTTGAGACCCTGAGTCTGTTGATGCCAGGTAAAATTTTTGTAGCTGCAATATTTGTTTATTTAAAATATGGTGTCTCCTCACACATTTATTTTAGGAACTTGAAAATATTCAGAAAAGAAAAAATAAGGCCAAATAATTTTTGAAAAATGATTGTTCACATCTTGTTTCATTTTCTTCCACTATTTACCTTCTGTATGTACAGTTAAAACTATTCAAATTGTCATCATAGCATATAGTAGTGTTTATTTTGCTTTTTTTCACTCATAGTGTATGTTGAACATTACCTAGGTAATTTTTTAAATATAATTTTATTGTTGGTACAATATTTTGTTTATGAATATATCAGAATGTAACACTCACATATTGTTAGATATTTTGATTGTTTCCAGGTTTTATTCCTGTTATACAGTTGCATAATGCTTTTAAGTTGAATTTATAAAATCAGTTACAGAATTTAAATTTGGAGCATGTATATATACGTACATACCTCTTATTGTTTTCCAAAAGATTGTGCCAATTTGTATAATCCAAGTGTAATTATAAGGGTCTCCTTTCTTGGAACTTTGCTCAGCAGATAGGCAGTAGAGACTCTTTTTAATTTGGATCACTTTGGCTATCAGTGAGTTTCATTTGTTCTTATATGTTTCTTAGCCATTTTCATTTCCTATGTGCTCGTATCTTTTGTCCATTTTTAAACTGAGGATTCAGTGAGGCTTTCAAAAAGTTTGTCTTGTTTTTTTAATTTGATTGGTTCTTAAAAAAAAGAGATTAAACTCTTACTCTTACTTTGTAAAATTGTACCCATTAGTGTGTCTTTTAATTTTTTTTTTTCTTTTTTTGGTACTGGAGATTGAACTTGGGTCCTTGTGCTGGCGAAGCAGGCAGCAGGACCACTAAGCTAAATCCCCAGCCTGTGTCTTTCAATTTTGTATGATGTTTCTGATCGTTAGGAGATTTAAATTTTTATGAAATAAAATTTATCGGGTTCTCTTGGAAAATCTTTCTTTGCCTTAAAAGTTACTTGTTTTCTACTGTTGTTATAGTGTAATTTTTATAACTTAACTCTTTATTCTCTGTAGTTTATTCTCTACATAGTTGTGAAATGAAAAGTAGAAATTAGAAAAGTAGAAAATTTCTACTTTTTCAAGTAGAAATCAGTATGTATCTCTGAGATTATTTATTGTTATCTTTTCTAATTTGTGATAGATATCTTGTTTATCATAAGTTAGGTTTGTATATGTATTAAGTCTTCAGTGAGTATTTACTTGATTCTTAAAAGAAAAACAGACAATACGTTTAAAATTTTTATTTAAAAATAGATAATATTTATATGGTTTATTTACAAATGAATAAAGGCAAAAAACATTTTCAATAAAGTCTCTTTCTTACTCTTATTTAATCCACTGCCTAAGGCAGCCAGGGTTACTAGTTTTATTTGTACATTTTCCCTTTTTGTTTTATAAATCATGGGCCCTCCAAACATGTTTTTGCGTGGCATTTCTTCCTTTAGAATAAAATTATTTTACAGCTATTTCATATCAGAACATAAAGAGCTTGCTTGTTATTTTTAAGACTGTAGAGCATTCCATAAGTGAGTATTTCACAATTTAGTTAACTGAAAGCTCTGGACTCCATCTCACATTAAATAAGGAATTTGTGGGCATTTATTTTACCAATATTCCCCAGTTCTAATTGGTGAAGTCTAGGATTAGGAACTAATCTTATGTCTATATTTTGTTTTTATATTATATCTTATCTTCTAGGAATTACTATTACTGGTTTACATTTTCAAATCATACTTTTAATAAGTAGACTGTCTTCATTCTTAAGCTCTGAAGTTTGAATTGTCTCTCAGTTGGCTGGGAAAGGACTGCAATATTTTTTTCTAGAAAAGTGGATTTATGGTATATTTTCTGAACATCCTCTCATATTTAGAGGTTTTCAGTTGTATTTACTTATGAACAATTCTTGCCTAGATATAAGCTTCTTAAGTAAATTTCTCTCTTTAATGACTATAATTGTTTTCACTATCATGTTTAGTATTTCTGAAGAGAAATTTGGTATTAAATATTTATTGTTATTATTATTTTTTTTACTCTTTGAAAGACATTTGATTTTGCTACCTAGATGCTCAGAATTAAAAAAAAAAATACAGTGTATTTCAAAACTTTAGAATGGGCTGAAGATTTAGCTCAGTGGTGTTATGCCTGCCTCACAAGTATATGGTCCTGAGTTCATTTCCCAGTACCAGAAAAAACAAAACCAAAAACCTTTAGAACAAATCTAGAAATGTTGCCTTTTAAAAAATCAATTTTAAGGGGCGGAGGTTTAGCTCAGTGGTGCAAGTACCTGCCTTGGAAGCTCAAGGTCCTGAGTTTGATCCCTTGTACCCCCCCCACAAAAAAAATCAATATTAAGGTGCCAGGGATTTAGCTCAGTGGTTCCGCCACCTACCTTGCAAGCACAAGTTCCCAAGTTCAATCCCTGGTACCAAAAAAAAAAAAAGTCAATTTTATTAAAGTATAATTTACATATAATAAATGCAAACATTTAAAATGTATTGCTCAATGAAATTTGACAGGTACATATAATGTATATATAATATATAATTTTTACTACCCTAGAGATTCTCCTGTGCTGGTGTACTGATTCCTTTTTTCTCCTACTCTACTCAGCCTCTGATCTAATTTTCATTTCTATAAATTAGTTTTACTTTCTTTAAAAATTCATATAAATGGAGTCATTCAGTGTGTACTTTTGTGTCTGGCATGATGGTTGTGAGATTGATCCATATTGTTACAGGTGTCAGTAGCTTCATTTTGTTTGTTGGTTTGTGTGAATAGTGATCAATTCATTGTTTGGGTCATTTTGTGAACGTTCATCTATAAAAGATTTTGGTAGATATGCTTTTTGTTTTTTTGTTTGTTTGTTTGTTTGGTTGGTTTTTTGAGACAGGGTCTCACTATGTACTTGAGACTGACCTGGAACTCACTATGTAGCCTAGGCTGGCCTCGAACTCACAGAAATCCTCCTGCCTCAGCCTCCTGAGTGCTGGGATTATAGGCATGCGCCTCCATGCCCAGCTTGGTAGATACGTTTTGTTTTTTTCATTTCCTGGGTAAATACCAAAGAGTAGAATTGCTAGGTCATATGATAAGTATATATTGAAGTTTCTAAACTTAAACTGTGATTTAGTATCTGCAAATCACATCCAGAGTGGCTGTGTCATCTCATGTTACTATCAGATCAACAGAGTATGAGAGCTCTAGTCATTGCTCATCTTTGCAAGCACTTGATCTTGTCAGTCCTTATTTCTCTGATGACTAATGATGTTGAGCACCTTTTCATGTTCTTCTTGCACATTTTAATATTTTTCTTTGAAAGGCATCTCTTCAAATAATTTTCCATATTTAAAAGATGTGGGGGTCTTTAGGGTGGGCTATCAAAAATGCAATACTTTAGATACAAGCCTTTCTTTTTGTTAGATATAAACCAAGTCTGTGTGGCTTGCCTTTTAATTTTTTTATGTGTGTTCTGGGCCACTGATTTTCAGTAGTCTCATTTTTGTTCTTTATTAATTCTATTAGAGGTTTAAATTATGTCATTATAGCATTTAAATCCTTCATTTATAAAGATCTCTTTTTTTCCTTTGATTTTAATTTGTTCATGGTTTGGCCCTTGGATGTAAGCCCTTGTGTTTAACAGTGCTTTTAAAACTTGAGTATCATTTTATTTTTCAGAGAGAGAAGGAATCTCATAATTCACCAGGGTTGACTTAAATTATTACTACCAGAATGATATTTTCAAAACTATGTGCAAAGACTAGATATAAACTGTGTGCTTTTAACTCTTAAATGCTTATAAAGCTAAAATAAAATTATAAACACAGATCATATTGCGAAATCCATAAAATTCAAGTTAACAAATTTAGTGTAAAGATCAGTATTTTACTGAAATTGCCCCATATAACACGAATGTGGTAGTGACAGCTTGATGTAGGATTTTATTTTTTGAGCTTGAACGCCTATCTTACCTGTACTATATGATGAACCACTTCTCTCTGCTATAAAACATTTGCTTACACAACATGCTGCAATGTCATTTGGCCTATACTCGGACATAAGCATCATCCTTATGTTCTCTTTTCAGTATCTCTCAATAGTTATAGCTGTCCTACATTCCTGTGCAGCAGTACACACTGATGCAGATGTGAACTCTGAAATCATTTGGCAGTACTCACTTAAGTCTGGATGATTTCAGGGGTCAGTATACTATAGCCCACTGGCCAGATCCAGACCACTGCTTGTTCTTATAAACGAAATTGTCTTGGATCACAGCCATTGTCTAGGGCTGCTTGCCTGTGGTAATAGCGCCACTGAGTATTTTCAAGAAAGGCCCACAAATCCTAAAATATTTGTTACATAGCCCTTTTC